GAGATGGAAGGAAATGCCCGCCTTTTAGAGTGAACAATCAATTCATATTTACAAGTAATCAGAAAGCAAGCACCAAAAAATTAACGCTCGATCTTTCCAGAAAACCGATAACCTATTAATAATGAATATAACTCGAATAAACTTGCTTCAAGTCCTTTTCGAGAGCGTTAGCAAAGGATCGTGTGGATGCAAAAGGGGATGCAGGGGTGGATCCAGAAAATCCAGAAAGGGATGGTGTACTGTCGCAATTTGTAATAATCATCGCACTTTGTAATACCTGTCGCAATTTGTAATAAATCCATCGCACTTTGTAATACCTGTCGCAATTTGTAATATACCGTGTCGCACTTTGTAATAAAAAAGCTGTCGCAATTTGTAACAACCGTCGATCGCACTTCGTAATAAACTAAGCTGTCGCCATTTGTAATAATTCCATCGCACTTTGTAATAACTTTTTGAGAGTAATTGAACTTACTTCGTCAACATTAATATAATGCCAAAATATGCATGGTACTTCATAAACAAAGATGATGACGTCTGCTGGCACGTAACACCTCCGCTCATTCAAACATTTAACTTTATTCACAATCCTAAACATTTTTTTCAGATTAATGTTGATTAGTTATCTGACTTACGAAATGCGGTACTCTTAAACCTTGCTATTGTACTAGGTGGTTTTCATTCAGTGGTTACCCGGCGGGTGTACTTCCTTATATGGCCAATACGGGGATGTGCCTCTAGACAGAGCATTGTCAGAGTACAGGATCTAGACAGAGCTAGACACACTAGACACAAACGAACCATTATTAAAAAGCATTTAATTTCCGCAAATCGTAACATCCATCCTACATCATTCGAATAAGGACACCACGAGAGTTCAAGCTTTCCTTGTTAGATCTTATAACAGGTCGATACAACACGTTGTGCACCGTCCTTGTCTAACGCGCAATCTTAAAGAAGTAATAGTGGCTTCCATATTTTGGCCAACTTAATCAACGAGGCCTGGAAAGATTCAAAATGTTTACTGCAAATAAAAAAAAACGTCATCAGTGGCAAACCGTCGAACCACAATAGAAACCTAAAAACAAAATCCAATTAGTCGCTGGCCAATACCTTCGTATGTACCTGTTTTTCTAACACTCACTTGGGGTCTTACACTGAGCCGGCTGGACATTTGGTCCATTATTCTCACTTGATTTGGTCCCATATAGGATCAAAAGGAGTACTCATTCCATCTTAAAACAATTGTTTTCTACAAGGAGTCCTCTACAGCAAATATCATGGGGCCGGGATAGTAAAAAATTATCCTTCCCTGCGTATATACAACTCTTTCGAGTGTGTTCTGGATTACTGTTTTTCCACAAAATGGAAAGGATGGAATAAACCACCCATTACTACTTGAGTTACCCTATCTAAGGATCAAACCAAAGACACAAGGCCAACAACGTAAAAAATGATACCCTATTAAAGGCTCGAGATCCTCAAAAACCATACCCTATCAGGCGGTACTTACCTATCTAGCCCATCCATATATGGGATTATCCCCCCCTCCCCGAAGACTTCACGTGTCACGTGGCAAGCAAACATGGATTTGGACGACGAATGCCAGGTTATTCATGAATTTTCTGTTGTTAAATGTTGCTTTTGTTATTTAAATATTCTTGAATTTAAACATGATTCATATCTTTTTGGTGATATGTCACAGGAAGTTTCATGTCTTTCATAAAAGCTTTTCTAGTTGGTCACGTGATTAATCAAGGCAGAAAAATTTATAGCGGTAGACATGCATGTTTGACCAAAAAAAATGTTACGGAGATGTTACGTGCTAGCAGACGTCACCATCTTTGTTTATGAAGTAGCATATTTTGGCATTATATTAATGTTGACGAAGTAAGTTGAATCACTCTCAAAAAATTATTACAAAGTGCGATGGAATTATTACAAATTGCGACAGCTTAGTTTATTACAAAGTGCGATGGACTGTTATTACAAATTGCGACAGCTTTTTCATTACAAAGTGCGACACGGTTTATTACAAATTGCGACAGGTATTACAAAGTGCGATGGATTTATTACAAATTGCGACAGGTATTACAAAGTGCGATGATTATTACAAATTGCGACAGTACAGATGGCCGGGATACTTGTCAGCTAAATAGATACTTTTTATGTTTCAGAGAATTTTATCAAAATAATAGCTAAATAATACAAAATTTCAACAACAACAACAATAAGCTTTATTTGCATGACCATAACAAAGTATTACAGTATTGCAAAAGCTACTTGAAATTACTCATTGATTCCTTGTAAATTAAATATTTAAAATAATTTGAAACTTATTAATCATTGTTTATTTCTAACCATCAGTAGGATTAATTATTCCGGAGATAAGTTTGTCTCTCAATTCAAAGCAAGTTGATATAAATGAAATTAATTGGATGTTAATAAAATAGTCAGTAGAATTCATCAGATGTGATAATAGGGACTCATGTGATTGTAGTCGTAGAAACGGTATTTTAGGTTCTAGTTTAGAGAAGAACATATCTCTTATCGAAGAGAAACTTGGACAATCTAATAAAAAGTGAGTTTCGTCTTCAATTCTGTTACAATTGCAGAGATTGCATAACCTTTCGCCACGTGGTAGACTGTCGTATCTACCTGTCTCAATCCTAAGTTTGTGACTGCTTATTCTCAGTTTCACTAATGTTTTCCTAGAAGGGTTCTTTCTTGTTAAATCTAGGTAGACAGAAGGGCTATAATTCGTTTTGATTTTATAATAAAAGTTAAGTTTTTGTGAAGAAAAAGGGGTGGCCGCGGTCCCCTCGGCCAGCCCCTAAATCTGCCTTTGGGAGTAGATGGCTGCTGTTCTTTACTTTTATTCTCAATTTTGGCAAGGGCGCCCTTCGCCATTTTGTTTCGGCCTGTGTGAGCCTCGTGGAACGAAGGCGGGAAAAGTTGACTTACTGGTGTCTTGTATGTAGCTCAGTTGACGAAAAGAAGAACCGAAGAAGTAAGGTCTTGAAAATGATGCAACGACGAAACAAGCCCATTGCGACGCCTCGAGGAAAAGGTTATAACGAAAGAAAAATTTCACGACACGAAGAAAGGCCAGTGGTGACCCGAAGAAAACAGTACCATGAAAAGAACGAACGACACGACTTGAAGACATGGAACCTACGCCACGAAGACAGCAGACAAAAACTTGAAGAACAATTTTCGAAGCGAAGAAGTGTTTGCGGGTCCGTGAAAAGTAAGTATCCATTTTGTCCACGATCTGACGTCATACCACGTGTTAGCTCGATTACCAGCCGCTGTTCGGCAAATGAGCCCGCGCTCGGACTGGAGAGAGTGGCGGAAATGGAGCGTAGATACGTGTGGACGTAAGAGCAAAAGGAAAGAACGCCAACGGAGGAGGAGAAGAAAAGTTAACTTTGGCGGTTTTGGATGACAAAAAACTGGCACGCAACTAAATTATGTTTACCTTTTCTTGGCATCAGCAATTCTTTGGAGTAAAGCACAAATGTTTGGCATAATTGCAATCCTTGCTAGTTTCCTCGTTAATCCCTAACTCTTTCTAGTAACACCCTTTAAAATTGGATCTGCTCCCCTCCTCTAGATGATATGGGTTTTTATCCACCCGGAAAACTTCCTGTGATAATTGATAGGTTAGTTGTATGGGTCGGCTAGACTGGGAGAAGAAACTGAGCCGCGGCTGCGCCGTAATATTCTTTCAAGACCACCAGTCCTGTTAGAAGGCACTGCTCGACTCAGTGTTTTCCTTACAATCATGGACAAAAGTCCTTGGGACAGTCACAACGTAGCTTGAATTCTATGTGTTTCACAACTTCTGTCGCAAAAAGCAGTGCCGTCATTTTACAAATGCATGTCCCCTCCCCCCTCCCCACTCAATACAATGTTGAAAGATCAAAGGAATTGTGCCTTGACGGTTTCAACACTGTCTGTGGGGTGGGAGGAGGGGGTAGGGAGGTATAGTGTTAGTAGCGCGCGGATACAGTTTCGCGTGTGTTAAAAAGCGTTCGAACTGTACAACTGTCCCAAGACTTTTGTCCATGATTGTAGGTTTGTTGCTCTCGAAATAGAAGAGAGATGTTAAAAGGATATTTTTTCCAACCGCGATTTCACTCGAGAGAAGTGATTGTTATAATCAGTGCCATCAAAAGCCTGATATATTGAGATAATAGGGCCATTTATACGAGGAAAAATAAGACGCGTCTTACATAGGACGCGTCTTAGATAAGACGCGAACTTTCCGTATGAACGGCACATTTCGTCTAAAATAGGACGCGGCTTAGCTAAGACGCGTCTTATTTTAGAAAAGCCCTTAACACCTGTTCTTAGATAAGAAGCGTCTTAGCTAAGACGAGAAAAACGTCGTATAAATGACCTTCGCGTCTTAAATAAGACGCGAACGCATAGTACGCATGCGTTAATTTTTGGCGCGGCACGTTGGATTGCCGTTGCTACGGGCAACGTTCACATGAAAACGAGTCAAGAAAAGAAATAAGACGCGAACCATTTATACGAGCTGTTCTCGTCTTAGATAAGACATGCTCGTATAAATGGTCCAGTTCGCGTCTTATTTAAGACGCGTCTTACATTAAGACGCGTCTTATTTTTCCTCGTATAAATGGCCCTAATGTTATCATGTTGTAAATGCCTGATGAACTGTGAATTCTTTACTCAGTATCGGATTCACAACCTCTTTACGCATCCTTTACACTAAAATTCAGTATCAGTGGGAAATTAGAGGAAACAACATCTCTTTTTATTTCACTGCATTAGAAAAACTGAAACAAAATAGAACTAAGGTAAAGACCAACTCTCATGATATGAATCTTCTTTTCTTCAACTGACCTTTAATGGGATTTAAAACTAACAACATCCGCTAAAACCTTTCAGTTAAAAAAAAATCTATGTCTATTTAGAGCTGCTGTTTCTTTCACTTCGGTGGGCCCTATTTCAGTTCCTTGACTTCAAGCTTATCGAGCAAAAGCTATAATAGCGCATGACAACAGCATGATGGCACTGACCATTGGTACTTCGGCTCCATTGCACAGGTCTTTTTTACAGCAGTCGATTTCGCATTTGATGATTTTCCCTGAGGAGACGATCTTTTTGCAGTTCTTCGCGCTGCAGTCAGATGAAGTGGCACATCCCTTGCCAAAGGCTTCTTGTGTCACGCCTGAGATCTCAGCTTTTACATACACTTTAGCACAACGGTCCTGACTGTCCAAACAGGTCACCTCTTTTGTACTGTTTTTGCAGTCATCCCAGCTCTTAACAGAGACAAATGCGAAGCATTTCAGGGCATAACCTGGAAAAAGGAAACAAATACAAAAATAGAATTAATAGCCTGAATCTCGAAGGCCAACACACCTAACTATCACATAGTAACAATTCAATATTTTTGTTTTTCGACGCGTAAACCATTTGGTATTAAATGGATATTGAACCTTTGCCCATCACCTCTTTTCTTCAGACAAGCTTTTCTCGGAGGAAAACGCAACAACAACAACATTAAGCTTTATTTGCATGACTATAACAAAGTATTAGGCCCGGTTCAGGCGCCGAACTATATAACAAAGTATTACAGTATTGCAAAAGCTACTTAAATTTAATTATTATTTCCTTTTTAAATTAAATATTTAAAATAACTTAAAATATATTAAATTTTACTTATTTTCAACCATCAGTAGGATTAATTATTCCGGAGACAAGTTTGTTTCTCAATTCAAAGCAAGATGATATAAACGAAATTTAATTGGATGTTAATAAAATAGTCAGTAGAATTCATTAGATTTGATAATAAGGTCTCATGTGATTGTAGTCGTAGAAACGGTATTTTAGGCTCTAGTTTAGAGAAGAACATCTCTCTTATCGAAGAAAAATTTGGACCATCTAATAAAAAGTCAGTTTCATCTTCAATTCTGTCAAAATTGCCTTTCATCACGTGGTATATTGTCGTATCTACCGATTTAAATGCTAAGTTTGTGACTGCTTATTCTCAGTTTCACCAATGTTTTCCTAGGAGGGTTCTTCCTTATATATCTCAGTAGGCAAGGGGGCTATAATTCGTTTTGATTTTGTAATAAAAGTTAAGTTTTTGTGAATGTTGAAGGGTATGATTCCAGTACGAGATGTTTCTTTTATATAAGTTCTACATATTTCATAATTTTACATTCATTCGGTAAATTACAATTAAAGTCTGGGAAATTATAGTAGTCAGTCATCTTCTTGCGACATAAACTGTGCTCGACTTCATGAAATTAGATAGAACAAAAACAAACATCAAATACAATAATTACTCAGGCTTACCATTCGAGGTGCAGCTCCTGAAAGGTATCAAGTAAGGCCAGTATTGCTTCAGACTTTGCAACCCTCTTACGCATCAAGCAAGGTGAAAACGAAAACGATGCCATCCGAAATCGGATTTCCGACTTTGACAAGCGACGTATTTCTCAACCAAAAACCCAATAAACAAACTAGCCGTGAATAACAGAAGACTCCTGATAGCAGCTAAATTTCATTTTGTAAATCCAGTGGAAAAAGACAGTTTAATACATCACAAGTTGACACAAAACTCTGTCAGCCTCAGCTGTCATAGGAAACAACTTTCAAGATGATGCAAATCAGAGCATAAAGATTGGTCGTAGAGCGTGACCAACGCGTGACCATGGTAAGAAAAGGTCTTCCCGCCTGTATTTTAAAAAACTGGCTGAATTTTTGCGACCGAGGTCAGTTTGAAGTCAAAATCCTAATAGTGCGGGGCCAACACAACATATTTGATATGAAACATTGGAAAAAATAAACTTGAGCCTGCGATCATTTGAAACTGGTAATTTGTCAGCGGATAACTTCAAAAAAATACTCGACTTCGATGGGTCGACACATGAGCCCGCGGTACAGTCAGGTGATACTGGTAAGCGGATACCCTGTTTTGATAGCTGTCAATTGATTAGAACATTGATGTGCAAGCGATCCTGAAATGCTTTATAGATCTCAAGTCTAGTGTTTTGTTTACGCTGGGCTCAGAAGACGAAACCGCGTTTTGTGACACTTAGAACGTTTTCCAGCTCGACTGCCGGTCAAAGTTTTCAAAACACTAAATGGCCGGCAGTCCTATATTCTCAGTAAACTTCGCTGTCCAGTCAATGGCAAAGAACGAATACTAACAACTCGATATTACAGTCGACTCCCGATAATTCGAACCTTCAAGGGAAATAGAAAAAAGCTCGAGTTATCGGGAGTTCGAGTTATCGAGGGTAAAATTATATAGAAAACAAGAATCGCCGAAAGGGGATTTTTAACTGGGCTGCAAAGGGGCTATTTGTTCTGAGGGGAGGGGGCGGCTATACACACTCAGGCTACCATAAAACCTTGTCGGCAACCATTGCATGCAACAGAATCTCATGTGAGACTGAAACATAAACTCATTCAGAACATTGCACCCTTTTGAAAGACTTTCGTAACCAAAAAAAAAGAGTACCATCTTTAAGTGGGGGCTGTATAATAACTTTTGAATTCCACCATTATGAATAAAAATAAACAAGTTAGCCATTAATTCTAAACAGGAAACAATTTGCATTATTTCCACGCACCCCTCCCCCAATCCCGCTGTGCCCCAAAATATAGCGTGACAGTATAACGTGACTAATTTGACGTAACCGGAAATTCCAAAAATAGTTGTCCTTCTACGAGCATAAAATGCGACAGACTGAGCTGATTTACACTAGACAGAAATATTGTATTGTATGAAAACCAGAAGTATACTAAAACAGACAGTTAACTGCCCATTGATCCCGCCTGATCCAGGGGCCTCACTGACTGCACGGAGACTTTACTACGCTTTTCACAAACATGCGAACTCTAAAGTTCAAAAGCCACCTTCACAATTGTGTTTATCGCTGCTGTCAATCATAATTACGATCACAAGCAACGAACCTTGAAACAGAGAAACACACAAAACGGATCGAAATCCACAAATCACAAACCATGACCTTTTGAACCTGCGAAGTAAAGTTTTGTTTCCTAAGAGCTCCGTTAAGATGATTGACATCAGCGAAAAACGCAATCTTGGGTTGGGTTCTGAACTTCAGAATTCGCATGTTTGTGAAAAGTGCGATCCTAATTTGCGGTCCACAGTCTACATGAAAACGCACTTTTTTTCCACAAGATGAAAAATATTCAGTTTTAAGATTTTCCTCATGGTATTTTTCTCTAACTTAAAGGAATAAAATCCTTTGCATTTTGAGACCTAAAAAAGTTTAAAGATTTCTCGCTCGCATGTTGCATTCACCAGCACGCACTTCATGAATCTAAATAGATGAAACAATCGATAACATATTTTTTACCTGATACCGATGTGAGTTAAGAATTCGCTCCAGTTCTTTTTGTCTCACCCAAGACTAACTTTTCTTCCTGGAAGATAACTATGCCGCTTTATAACTCGTCCGAAGTTTTTGTGCCAGCTAAACAATATGGAAACACTATTCACAGTGACTCCTTGGATATTAAAAAGACTGAACGTGACGCACTATTATGCCTTTGTTTACTTCTGATCACATCTTCAAGCGAAGTCTCTCTTTTCAAGCGATTCATCTCAATGCACAATAATTGACCCTTATATTACTTAAAATCCTATGGTTCATTTATATTAATGCTGTTTTTGCCCCTCACATTGACTGTGTTTTTTCGTATTCAAAACACCTTTACGAAAATAAAGGCCGTATAAGTCATGTGTGTTATGTTTCGAGATAAATGGATTATACGCTTTTTTAAGTTTCCATTTTGCGGTGACTTCAGTTTACATCTCCATAAAGTGGTAAAAGAAATATCAAGAAACATCACGAGAGCTGAAAATTTTCAAAGGCATGTTTCTGAAACTCGCTAATGCTGACATCAATATAACGTACTTGCTGAATGGGCGAAAACACAGAATTGTGATCACAAGATCTTGTACAAATTTAATGATAAAAGCTTAGCAAGATACAGATACAAACAAAAGAAAACCCCCTGAAACCTCGACGTGGGCTACACTTGTGTGCTCTACTCAGTCACCAAACCTTGTCAGTAAGAGCTCCTATTTTCCTCAAGTCGCTCTCTGTGAAGCTCCCGGATGGGATGTCCCGGAGAAGCTTTAAACTTGTGTGCGAAATTCTCAGAGTTCCTATTTTTGTCCGTGTCTTCTTTATCCTCAGTATCCGAAATTTAGACCTCCAAAGTGGCGTGTGTTTCATTAAATAGAAGGAAATATCTAAAGGAAAAGCCAGTCTTCTAACATGGCAAAGTTGTCACGTCCCTCGCTCATGGACGTGCGTCGCATCACAGGCGGCCCAGACGTAGTATGTGTCACTGAATGAATATATTAATATCCACCTGGACAAATTAATGCGATGAGTCGTCGAAACTCCCATGGACTAAAATAGTCTAAAAGTCAAAATATAACAAAACAAAGCTAAGATACCTTCAACTGAACGTATCCTTGTCTTTCCTGGCCGGTTTAAGTGGCATTTTGTTGAGTTTTGAAATTGTAGGTACTATCTACTAAAGAAGAATTAAAGGCTGGCTACAAAACAAATAGACCATCTCCACTCGCCTTCACACGAAGCGCTATAAATTCGAGAATAATCGACGAATCCGCTCCAAATAACCATCGCCTAATCTGCAGGTAACGTGTGCTCCTGCTTCTGGCTCGCTTGCTCCACAAAACCCATCGCAACTGCACAATAATTGCTCGCTCATCAACAACCACTGTTGACCTTTACGCTTCGATATGACCGCAAACGACCAGGTTTAATACGCGACGTGAATATTCAAGCTTAGCGACCGCGTTCGCGCAACAACGCAGCACTTGCTATGGGAGGGATGGTACTATTGCTTCTAGTTCAATCAATCGGGAAAATAATATTGAAGCCCTTGTAATTTTTAAAAAGATCCAATTTGCCCTAGGAGCACCGAACAGATACGAATCTTATAGCGGAGCTAAAAAAAATGAGCGGCAGTGGAAAAAGTGAACAAGAAAATGTACCACATTTTCTCCATAAAAAGTGAAAACCAGGAAGTTTTCTGGACGTTTCACGTTGCAGTCATGCAAATCAACGGCAAGGAAATGTACAAGAAAGTGTGCTGCAATTAGGCCTATTGTTAGTTTTTCACAGTTCTGGTCAAGGGCATCCAACTTTTAATTTTTCACATTTCACTCACCGGGTTAGGCTATTTTTCGTAGAGAGTAAAATGGAATCCTAAAATTTTTGGATTCAAAAATGTGATGAAAGAAGGTATCTGAAAAATTATCTCCTTCGTAATACGTTAAATTGCATCTAAAATTTTCGGGAAAATAATTCTG